AGATAGATAGATAGATAGATAGATAGATAGATAGATAGATAGATAGATAGATAGATAGATAGATAGATAGATAGATAGATAGATAGATAGATAGATAGATAGATAGATAGATAGATGGATGGATGGATGGATACACATATATATATATTAGGGCGTCGATTTTAAGAACTCAATTTTCCCGAAAAATCGGTTATCCGAACTGCCTGTGTCATTTTACATTGGTATTTTCGTACATAAATACGACCGCAGTCACACAACCCAGCTACAAATGCAGTGGGAAAGTTAATGGGATCTTTAAAATTGTTGAGACAGAGTGACCTCGGATTTTATTCTATACACCCTATACGCCCTTTACACCTTATACACCCTATATACGCTTTACACCCTATACACTCCATACACCCTATACACTCTTTACACCCTATACACTCCATACACCCTATACACTCTTTACACCCTAAACACCCTATGCACTATATACACCCTGTACACTCTTTACACCCTATACACTCCATACACCCTATACACTCTATACACCCTATACACTCTTTATACCCTATACACTCCATAATCCTATACACTCTTTACACCCTAAACACATTCTACACATTTTACACCCTATACCCCTTATGTTTAATACATTGTACAATAAATCACACAATGTGTACACCTATCATGTACACTATATTGAATTCTATGCACTAACGTCTACAACGCAAACTTTGGTGGGAGCGTTCAGTTATACGAAACAGAGGTTATCCAAAACACATGCCCCACCCCCCTCAAACCCACTCTCAATTCGCTCGAAAAATCGACGCTCTACTGTGTGTACATTGCTATGATCATGTTACGCTTTTTATAGTTCATAGTTCACATAAACTTTTTCTATTAAATAAAATATACATATTCAAACAATTCAAATGTTTGTCTATAAATTAAAACAAATGAAACGTTCTACTTACTTATACTCTAAACACTTTCACTTGAAATAATATAATGTAAACATCTGCACTTATTATAATGTAATGTAAACATCTGCAATGATTATAATATATTCTAAACATATGCATTTATTTTAATATAATGTATATTCTAAACATCTGCTCTTATTATATTTGAATAATATTCATTTTAATAGTATCATAATGTTTTTAGTGTAGCATAAATTTGTTGTATCAATTTCAAATAAAAATAATATTCATTTTAATAGTATCATAATGTTTTTAGTGTAGCATAAATTTGCTGTATCAATTTCAAATAAAAATAATATTCATTTTAATAGTATCATAATGTTTTTAGTGTAGCATAAATTTGTTGTATCAATTTCAAATAAAAATAATATTCATTTTAATAGTATCATAATGTTTTTACTGTAGCATAAATTTGTTGTATCAATTTCAAATAAAAATAAATATTTTAACTCAAGATAGAAGTCTTTTTTTTTTTTTTTAGTGAAAAAAACAGGTGTTTTTCCTCGATTTTTTGAATATTTATTTTATATTCCTTTACATGATAAAAAGGAGACATAAATAAAAATAATATTTATTTTAATAGTATCATAATGTTTTTATTGTATCATAAATTTGTTGTATCAATTTCAAATAAAAATAAATATTTTAACTCAAGATAGAAGTCTTTTTTTTTTTTTTTAGTGCAAAAAACAGGTGTTTTTCCTCGATTTGTTGAATATTCATTTTATATTCCTTTACATGATACAAAGGAGACAGAAGATCTGTCTCCGAGAGAATGTGTTTAAACGTTTTCATTCTATAAAATATTTAATAATATGTTTTTATAGAGACTTTGCAAGGGGGTTTTAATAAAGTTTTTTTGTTTGGTTTTTTTAATGTTGATTGAGCATTTTGTTACTATTAATAAAAGAGCCAGTGAACTTTTTCACATTATGAACATATATGTCCCCTAAGTTCTCGGTGTCTTTAAGAAGCTGATTTTTACCTGTGTTTATAACCTGTGTTGACGATCTTACTTTAACAACAGGATTTTATTCGGAGAATCTATCGCCATCCAGCAGAACTATTTCTGTCACATTTTAGTGTGTTTGCTGTGAAACAAATAGAGAGCAAGTGCAAAGACAGGCAACAGGAGACCAGCGTTCATCAACCGACCTCTTCTGGCCGCCGCTAGGTCATCGCGCTTGACCTTGTTCACCGTGCCATGACGGAGAGGCTTGCTGCCCTCCGCATCAGCTCGCCTGCAGATCTCACTCGCTTGCCGCCAGTTGCTGTCCGGCCCCAGCAGACGGTACTGTGCCGGGTAAATGGGTCCGTACCATGCTCGGAACGCCAGGGCCGGATCGCGGAGAAGCAAGTGCCAGAAACTCGGGAAACAGCCCAGCAGTTTGGCAATGGCGTCACCAAACAGAAAGCCGGGAATCTAGGGGGTTAAAGAAATGACAATAATGTACCAAACGGTGTCTGAACACTCTGAAACTGCAAGCTTTGCTCTCACATTCAAATACATTTAAATATCTATAAATATAACATAGGTGATCTGTCATTCAAATATAAACCTTACATAACTAAGGTAGAATTTATAGTTCCTTTTTGCGATTCGCGCACATATTTACGAAAATGTACCTGATTCATGTCTAAATTAAAGATTAAAATAAAAAAAAATCCTCTTTAGACTAAGCTGTGTGCCCTATTCTAGCATACTGCTTCAGGGGCGTCATTTCAGGTTTTTTCAGGGGGGGGGGGCGCAAAACCAAAACTTGGTCGGCTTGTTAAGCTGTTTATTACTTGAGGCGCAACAGTACATAGCAATTTTATTAAAACCGGAAAATTCAGGAAGGGGGGCGCAAATGTCCAACCCCACTCTACCCAAATGACGTCCCTGTACTGCACCTTAATCTTAAAAATCATAGAACCATCCTCACCCCACTCACAGTATATAGTATTTGAAAGTTTTACAATTTTTTATTTGTAAACACACTAAAAGGTGGACCTCACTTCTTTCCCCATGGAGCTATGATGCAATACTAATAATTATATTGTTCAGTTTTACCATGTAGCAGTATCTCCCCTTCTTCTTCAAACAGAATCCAGACCAGAAGTCGGCGTCTGCCTTCATGTCTTCAACTGACGGCAGCTGTAACTTGCCAGCAAACACCTTGACAGCGTAGCGACTCTGATGGAAGTAAGAAATTTTCGTCATAACAGCTTTCTTATGGTTGTGACTTAGTGATGCACGAATTATAATGGCGCCATACAGCTTACATCCCAGGAGATTCAGGTATGCACCAGCTAATCACACTCATACAGACTAAATCTTCTTATTGTCTTTTCAATCTCCTACACGGCCCACTAGACGTCAGAGTCCTAACTACACTAGCCGTCAAAGATCTGCCCATTTAAGCCGTCTAAGATCTGCCCGCAACAATCATTATAGATCTGTCTACAATAGCCATCAAAGATCTGCTTACACCAGCCGTCAAAGATCTTTCTGCATAAGCCATCAAAGATCAGCCTGCACCAGCCGTCAAAGATCTTACTACAATAGCCGTCAAAGATCCGCGTGCAATGGCCGTCAAAGATCTAACTACACTTGCCGTCAAAGATCTGCCTACACACGGTTGGCGTGTGGTATTCCCTTGGTTTCCGTCTACCCATTGCATTCTTTCCCATTGTTGGTAGCGCAGCCAGATTAACCTAAAAGAAACCCCCCCCCCCACCTGACTTGGTCTAAAGTGCCTTTTAGGGTCCCCTTGATAGGGATCTTTTTTTATTTGATCTTGAACGTACTTTTAATGATGTCATGTGCAGCAACGTTTTCCCAAACTTTCAAGTTAGTCGGACCAGTGGAGATGTCTCGAACTCGAGCCAGGAACCGTGGCCTGATTGATTTATCATATTTAACTTCTATTTGACCTTAAATTTTCATGTTGTGTGGACCGACGACATGGGGCTCACGGACCGGTGCCGGTCTGCTGAACACCTTTTGGGGAACGCTAATGTACAGTGCTTTATTGACATCTTGGGCAGCTTTATAACAATTTATATATATATAATTAGGACGAGAGAAGACACAGTAAGGCAGGCTACACCAGGCGTAATCTGTTCCCAAGATGCTGGGACTGTTTCCAACACCACTGTTCCCAAGATGTTGGGGCTGTTCCAACACCACTGTTCCCAAGATGCTGGGACTGTTCCAACACCACTGTTCCCAAGAGGCTGAGACTGTTCCAAGACCACTGTTCCCAAGATACTGGGACTGTTCCAACACCACTGTTCCCAAGATGCTGGGACTGTTCCAACACCACTGTTCCCAAGATACTGGGACTGTTCCAATACCACTGTTCCCAAGATACTGAGACTGTTCCAACACCACTGTTCCCAAGATACTGGGACTGTTCCAACACCACTGTTCCCAAGATACTGGGACTGTTCCAACACCACTGTTCCAAAGATGCTGGGACTGTTCCAATACCACTGTTACCAAGATACTGGGACTGTTCCAATACCACTGTTCCCAAGATGCTGGGACTGTTCCAACACCACTGTTCCCAAGATGCTGGGACTGTTCCAATACCACTGTTCCCAAGATGCTGGGACTGTTCCAATACCACTGTTCCCAAGATGCTGGGACTGTTCCAATACCACTGTTCCCAAGATGCTGGGACAGTTCCCAAGATGCTGGGACTGTTCCAATACCACTGTTCCCAAGATGCTGGGACTGTTCCAACACCACAGTTCCCAAGATGCTGGGACTGTTCCAATACCACTGTTCCCAAGATACTGGGACTGTTCCAATACCACTGTTCCCAAGATGCTGGGACTGTTCCAACACCACTGTTCCCAAGATACTGGGACTGTTCCAATACCACTGTTCCCAAGATGCTGGGACTGTTCTAACACCAATGTTCCCAAGATGCTGGGACTGTTCCAACACCACTGTTCCCAAGATTAAGAGAGACCGACTACTCTTAACGAACAGGATAAATAGAATAGAAATGACGTGTCAGCCAATTAGGTCTAAGTCGTAGAGATCAAATAATTATGTTATTCAAAAAGAAATATTTCAATTCTCGGTCAAGATATTAAACCAAAGGCAGACCGGAAGTCAAATGGATGATTTCGGGGGAAAGGGAGGTATGGGGTGTGGGATGGGGTGGGGTGGGGTTTAGAACAAAGACGTACCTTGACTTAATGTCGCCTTAAATGGGCACACCCTTCCACATTCCTTGGGTACGCGACTTGGGAGAAGGCAAAATTTCAAATGCCCTGGATCCTCTGTGGGTCTTAATCCGGCCCCTTTTTTTTCCCCCGGGTAGACTATTAAAAGCACTTTTGAATGGCAAACATCTCGCACATCTTACCCGCCCTCTAAACAGTGTCTGGGAGGACAGTGAACCGGCCCCCGTCTAAAACAAGTTCGAGAACACCTGCTCTCTGAGTTACCAAGTGTAAATCAATACAACCTTACCTCTGTTCGATTAACTTATCAAATTAACTGTATGACATTCATAATGATGGCTTTGTCATTTGATGACGTTTTATTTTAAAAGTTGAGGTTTTGCAATGGCCAGCAAGTGATACAAAGTGACTGGGATTCGTAAATTTTATGTTCACAGTCAGAACACAATAAGAAAATAGTTCCTTGTTTATCAGGCGGAAAAAAGGAAAAGTTGGGAAAGTAACATAAAACCAAGAGTAATTTTAAAATAAATCTACTGCTAATATTGCCGTATAGATCTAGACCTCTCAACTGGTAATTTCTGAATATTTTATAATTTTACTAACGTTTTTTAAAACTATTCTTTCAAATATAACGCTTCGGTGTGATTGATTGATTGATTGGATATGTATATCGCACTGGTATCCATGCCACTTTAGCATGCTCACTGCGCTCCGGTGTTCCGAAATCGATGTAATGTCTCGGTGTGATCACTGTGTCGGTGTGATTACTGTGTCGGCGTGATCACCCTGTCGGCGTGTTCACCGTGTCGGCGTGATCACTGTGTCTGCTTGATCATTGTGTCGGTGTGGTCACTGTGTCGGTGTGATCACTGTGTCGGTGTGATCACTGTGTCGGTGTGATCATCGTGTCGGTTCGATCACTGTGTCGGTGTGATCACTGTGTCTGCGTGATCACTGTGTCGGTGGGATCATTGTGTTGGTGTGATTAAACGGACTGATTAAACACAGTGGACGCGCCTCGTCTCTAGATGAAGATTATTAACAGTTCCTTAAAAATATGAAGAGTAATTAGTTAAGTGACGATCTATACTACAACATTATAGGTGTCGACCTGACCTGTAATTCAAACACAGGAGCTAATGCAGAATCGCCAGCCATGGCTCCAATGATGCCCAGTGTTCTTTTCTCTTCTTGTATGGGAAAAATCAGCTTGAACAAATCCATCTTGCCATTTTCTAAATGTAAAATGAGATCATGAAATACAAATTACTTAAAACGAATTAATTTGGAGCAGGCTTTTTTGGCCAATTTCCGCTCCGGTCCCTCTTCGGTCAAATTTGTTTTGGGCTCCAGGTGACCTCCGATAAACGGAAAAAACAACAACACACACACACACACACAAGTGGGAGGGGGTGGTTGAGAGAGTGATATGTGCTTATAGAAATTTGTCACTTATTCTCACTCACCTATCTTATTAGCAAGGCAGTAGAAAGTCATCAACAAAGCTGTATAGGGGTGGGGCAACATAGCTGGTGGGACAGTGGGACAACCCAGTTGGTAGGACAGTGGGGCAACCCAGTTGGTAGAGGGGTGGTTGAAATATGGCCAGTTAAATAGCGGGGCGTCAATTTAAATAAAAATTATTTCAACAAGTCGAAGACATAATATCTTGCATAAATTCACTAACATTTTTGGAACTCAGATCAGGAAGAAATTCTAATGGCTCCAGCTTCGGGCAAAGAATAGAAAAAAAAATATAGAAAAAATTTATTAAAAAAAACACCAGCCTGTCCCATTTCCGAGCCCAACCCCTAATTCTTCCTATAGAACAGACATTAGTATACTACTTAAATGTAACCTCAATGAGACTTTATAAACGTGACTCATCAAAAAATGTACATTAGTAATGATAAGCCCATAATCCACTCACTCATTTAAAAAAATGGTCTCCTTCACACTCGACTCATGTTTTAGTATGACAAGTAAACACTCTTCGTTCTATCTGAATGCATAAATTACACTTCATCGCGTGGGAGCAAGTAGCCAGTACATGGAACAGATGCGCAGATCATTAATTGTTCCCTATGGTTAACATACATTTTTAAAGTATTTAGCAGATGGTCACGCCACTCAACAATAATTAATTTTCGGTAGGCATATGAGGATACAATTAGTTCCTCAACACTTGAACGTGTCTAATTTGCTGACGCTTGATTTGAAACATATCATGTATGATACATGAATGATATAACGAAATAATTAGATTATTGATTGCGTCGAAAGATATATAAAAAAAACATTAGAGGAAAACGCTAATATAGATGAAATATACTAAAATGATTTATAGAAAAAAAGCTTGCTAAAAATAAGAAAAAAAGATCAGGAACCCAACAATCTGCAACACTCATGTCAACTATTGCACTCATGTCAACTGTTGCACTCATGTCAACTGTTGCACTCATGTCACTATTGCACTCATGTCAACTGTTGCACTCATGTCAACTGTTGCACTAATGTCAACTGTTGCACTCATGTCAACTGTTGCACTAATGTCAACTGTTGCACTCATGTCAACTGTTGCACTCATGTCAAATGTTGCACTCATGTCAACTGTTGCACTCATGTCAACTGTTGCACTCATGTCACTGTTGCAATCATGTCAACTGTTGCACTCATGTCAACTGTTGCACTCATGTCAACTAATGCACTCATGTCAACTATTGCACTCATGTCAAAAAATGTCAACTATTGCACTCATGTCAACTGTTGCACTCATGTCAACTATTGCCCTCATGTCAACTAATGCACTAATGTCTACTGTTGCACTCATGTCAACTGTTGCACTCATGTCAACCGTTGCACTCATGTCAACTATAGCACTCATGTTAACTATTGCAGTCATGTCAACTGTTGCACTAATGTCAAATGTTGCACTCATGTCAACTATTGCAGCCATGTCAACTGTTGCACTTATGTCAACTTTTGCACTCATGTCAACTGTTACACTCATGTCAACTATTACACTCATGTCAACTATTGCACTCATGTCAACTATTGTCAGGATGACTTGCCTTGGATAATTTCGTAATCAAGAAATGAAAAATCTGACGAGTATCCAGTGCATAAAATGACTGCATCCAGGTCAGGAATGACGGAGCCATCACTGAAATAAGCTGAGGATCCCTTCAGACGTTCGAGTTCTCCGTACACTTTGATTCGCCCTGACATAATTTTCATCTGTTTGGTAACACAAGAAAAAACAGACATGAATGACGGCTAAATGAAATCATTACCTCAGCACACCAATGACGGCAAGATGAAATCTTGACCTCAGCACACCAATGACAGCAAGATGAAATCTTGACCTCAGCACACCAATGACGGCAAGATGAAATCTTGACCTCAGCACACCAATGACGGCAAGATGAAATCATGACCTCAATACACCAATGACAGCAAAATGACATCATGTTCTCAGTACAATGGCTGAAATTCTACTTTGTTTCAACATAAAATGATACGTCTCTGAGTTTAGAGAAATGAACAAGATCTATTGATTTTTGATGATGTAGGAGTTGTTTTTTTCCTCTCCTCATAACTTCTGTTATTCAAGTTACAATTTTGGTGGAGATTTTGTCTTTAAAAAAACAAAGGAGAATAATCGAAAAAAGTTTGACGCCAGATTCAGACAGAACAGAGTTACTCCAATCACGATACTGAGTCAAACGTGGGCGACTTCATTTTCTTTTTTTTTTCATAACGTTAAGAACTTAAAAGTTATTTTAAAAATGACGTTAAAAATATATTACCGTAAAAGATTATGTGTGTTAATATATGGTGCAGCGGGGCCGACGGCAAAAACTGTGTGTATATCAGAGACAATGATGAAATGACACTTCAAAGGGTAATAGTGTTATTGTGCTAAACGTAGTGGTGGAGTTATGTAACATGACACGACCATCGTTGACAGAGTTATAGAACATTACTCGACCAGCGTAGGTAGAGTTAGGTAACATGACGCAGGCAGCGTTGGCAGAGTTATGGAACATGACACGACCAGCGTTGGCAGAGTTATGGAACATGACACGACCAGCGTGCGTAGAGTTATGGAACATGACACGACCAGCGTGTATAGGGTTATGGAACATGACACGACCAGCGTTGGTAGAGTTATGGAACATGACACGACCAGCGCATGTAGCGTTATGGAACATGAAACGACCAGCGTTGGTAGAGTTATGGAACATGACGCAAGCAGCGTTGGTAGAGTTATGGAACATGACACGACCAGCGTTGGTAGAGTTATGGAACATGAAACGACCAGCGCATGTAGAGTTATAGAACATGACACGACCAGCGTGTATAGAGTTATGGAACATGACACGACCAGCGATGTCTAAACATGTGCAATTATTATTATTTTTTTTTATTGAATAACGTGTTTGTAGTTACATAAATTTCATCCCCGAACATGAAGGAAGAGCTGCTGGCTGGTGGGTTAATGGGACAGATTGCCGACCCCATGTGATCCAATCTGTTCTGGCACTGGTCAATCGTGAAGTTATTTAAGTAGACCTCAGGAGTACTGGAATAGTACCAACACCTAGGCAGGCAAAGGTCAGACGGCCGGGCACCGGACATGATGCGTGGAAATATCCAAGTTCCTTTACCTCTTGACAAGCAAACCTGGGAATGACAGAGATCAAACAACTGAGAGGTATTTAAATAGTCTTGCCAACACAAAGCTGCCCGAATGGCACCAACTTTAAGAAAAGGCTTTGTTTAAAGCTACTGGAAAAACATATCCTTAAAACATGGCAGATTAACAGACCTTGGTATGTGCTGCTATATCGTTGGCAATGTCCCCAGCAGAGAAGGCGCTTCCTGAAAATAAGAAAAAAATATGTTTTATATTTAAAAAAAACAAAACATTTTAATATAACCTTCAATATTGGAATATTTACAAATAGAGGAACTTACCAATAACAAGCACGTTTTTATTGTTATAGATAGAGCCCATTTTGTAGTCAAAAGAGTGTTGGATATCGCCAGGGAAGGTGTTCAGGCCGGCCACTGTTGGGTAGTACGGCTTTCTGAGTCAGGAGAAATAACACGATGAAGCAGTCGCAATGATAATATGACAATTGTAAACATGTAGACCTGGGGTCTCCAAACTACGGCCCGCGGGCTGCATGCGAGGCCCTCTCATGCGGCCCATGGAGACCTTTTTGTCAACGGAAAAAAATTACGGAAACTTGCATGTATCTGCCAAGATCAGACGCCACTTACGTTGACGTTATGTTTTTACCGAATTAAAATAGAGGCACGCATTAGTGCGTTATGTTTTCTAGCCGATCATTACTTGGCAAAACCTAGGACGCTGCTTAGTTTTTCTACTTCCGTTCACAGTCAATGAGATGATATAACGCCATCTAGTGGCGGAGCTTTGCCCGCCGTGTTGCAGACATGGGTGAAAACATTGTGACTCAAATCGAGAATTTCGCCAATTTTTAACTGCAATGGATGAATCGCTGGGCAGATGTTCCACCTCTCAACTGCTTCTTTTCATTAGAGGTGTGGATGAAGACATGAACATAACACAAAAGCTGGCTTCCCTACATAGCATGTACGACACTGTTACCGAAGAGGATATATTCAATGAGTTGAAAAAAAACATTTGCTGATTATAATTTGGACTGGACTAACCTCAGTTGCCTGACTGTTGATGGAGGAAAGAACATGAGTGACATAAAGATAGGCTTGGTTGGACAAGTGAAGCAGATGTGTAATGAGAAAAAATTCTGCAAACAATGTTCCTGCACTGTATTATTCAGCAGAAAGCTTTGTCTGATAAATATATTGACAGCAGTGTACTGAATCCTGTGGTAAAGAGGGTTAATTTAATACGGTCACATGGGCTCAACCATAGACAGTTCAGAGACCTGTTGGAAGATACAGACACAGAATCGCAAGATTTACCATATTACACAGCAGTAAGATGGCTTAGTTGTGAGAAAGATCTAAGCAGAGTATTTAAGTTGAAAAAGGAAATGGGTGACTTCCTGGAAAGTAAAGTAAAGCCACAGCCATTACTGTCTGATGAAGAGTTGGTATGGAAATTGGCCTTAGCTGCAGACATAACTAGTCATTTAAATTTTCTGAACCTTAAACTACGAGGAAAGGAAAATCTAGTTTCTGATCTATACACTCACCTAAAGGCCTTCAGACCCAACCTCGTCTTGTTTTTTTGGAACAAGTACATGCCAACAACTTGACGCACTGACATGGCTGAAGCAACAGCGGAGTTCCCACGTCATTTGTATGCGAAATCATCAAAGACCCCCAGCTGAAGTTTCAGCAGCGTTTTTCTGACTTGGATTTAAAGGCAGAAGAAGTGAGCCTTTTTCAAAACCCATTTGAAGCAGTTGTGACCAGTCACCCAGATGAACTGCACCTGGAGGTCACTGAGTTGCAAGCAAATGACGTCCTTAGGGACAAGTTAAATGAAGGACCGGTGGTTTTTTAACTAGTTTCTGCCCAAGGAAGACTTTCCTAATGTCAACAGATTTGCGTCAATGTACCTTTCCATCTTTGGAACAGACACGCCGGTGTGAACAAACATTTTCAAGAACGAACTACGTGAAGAACAATTTGAGAACAAATTTGTCCGATAATAATCTCAGGTCACTGTTGATGTTAGGGACATCAAATCTAAATCCAGAAATGTCTGCTAATCACTGCTAATTTGGCATCCAGGAAACAATTTCACCATTCCCACTAATACAGGTGTTCATGTGTCGTGTATCAATGTGTTATGAAATAATAGCTGAATGAAATAATATTACATAAATAATTAAAAACAACATCCATGTTTTGATTCTTTTTTATTTGGACTTAGAGTGTGTAGTCGGCCCCGAACAGTTGTTTGATAGTTGATGCGGCTCTCGGGCTGAAAAGTTTGGAGACCCCTGATGTTGACACTTGAAGGCTGTGTAATTTGTAAAACAAGACAAGTTTGGAATGATAGCAAAGAAAATAATAAACCGCTACAGCAAGCTCTACTCACCCGAAGTAACAGCTACAACAATCTCTACTCACTTGACGTAACCAGTACAACAATCTCTACTCACTTGAAATAACTGCTACAGCAATCTCTACTCACTTGGAATAACTGCTACAGCAATCTCTAGTCACTTGAGGTAACTGCTACAACAATCCATAGTCAGCTGAAGTAACTGCTACAAAAATCTCTACTCACTTGTAGTAACTGCTACAACAATCTCTACTCACTTGAAGTAACTGCTACAGTAATCTCTACTCACTTGAGGTAACCGCTAAAACAAGCTCTACTCACTTGAAGTAACTGCTACAGTAATCTCTACTCACTTGAAGTAACTGCTACAACAATCTCTACTCACTTGAAGTAACTGCTACAACAATCTCTACTCACTTGAAGTAACTGCTACAGCAATCTCTACTCACTTGAAGCAACCGCTACAAATAAGAACAAAGTCAAAAATTTCAGATGAACATCTGGACAGATCTTCCTCTGTAGCCACTTGTCCTGCACTCTTGTCTCCGCCTCTGAAATCTTGGGTTGGGCAAGTCAGCACTTTCCAATGTCCGGTTACATTGTGATCGGAAGCTTTTTGGATCTGTCCCAATAAAAAAATTATTCTACTTATTTCAAATGCACAAACCACTTACGTTTTTTGAACATCCCCCACAAAGAGTTTTTCCCCCATTTCCCTTGCATTGTTTTTGTTCAAATTTGATCGATCCATCCATGAAAATTCTTTGAGTAAAACAAGTTTCGTTTAGAAAACTATTGATTAAAATCTTCAGGGGCCACCATTTCTGAAGTAGATTCATTTCAGGAAACAAGAATCATGTTTAGTCCATGGATGGTCGATAAAGTTTAGCGCCGAAACTTTTGATAGTTTGACCCCGACTTACATTTTTGATAGTTTGACTTACATTTTTGATATTTTGACTTATATTTTTGATAGTTTGACTTACATTTTTGATAGTTTGACTTACATTTTTGATAGTTTGACTTACATTTTTGATAGTTTGACTTACATTTTTGATAGTTTGTCTTACATTTTTGATAGTTTGACTTATATTTTTGATAGTTTGACTTACATTTTTGATAGTTTGACTTACATTTTTGATAGTTTGATTACATTTTTGATAGTTTGACTTGCGCTAATACAACAGAAATACAATTTTTAGACCATGACGCCAGAAATGGGACGAGGGTGCTTGTTTTGTTGTTGGTTGGGTTGGGGGGGGGGGAGTATATTGACGGAATAATAGTTTGTTACTGAACTCTCGGGAATTAAAATAGTATGCCAGAAACGTGTATTCTGAGTTTGCGGCCCTGTTAAACACATACTCAGGTTCGGGTCTTACCTTGATGACTCTTGTGTTCAACTTGATGTAAGAAGAAAGCTGAAAATGCTGGGCATATCTTTTGTAATAGTTTCGAAGTGCCTGAAAATGTGGATTTTATGATAATGATATCAGTGGCATAGAATGTTTTATGTGTGTTTGTGTGTGTGTGTGTGTTTGCGATTGTGTGTGTGTGTTTGTGTTTTATTGTGTTGCGTTTTGTAATACATACTATATGAAAATCCCGTTATGATAAACACATGGAAATGAGCGAAATAAAATATGGGACAACCTGATGAAAAGACGCAACGCAACAACGAATGTATCAAGAGATACAATCCAGGCTCTCCATGATGTACAAGCTAAATAATGGGCTGGTCCACTGTTCCAGTATTAAACAGAAACTCGTCCCTCTCCCCCATAGACTGCGACGAGGCCATGACAGGCAATTCAGGCTCATACCAGCAAGAAGCCAGTATAGGAGCTGCTCATTCCTGCCCAAGACAATCAGGGACTGGAACCATCTTTCAAAAGGAACAGTTGAGGCGACAACACTAGACACATTTGTGTCTATTGCCTCAAGCCTTCAAACTCCTAGTGCATAATTTCCTCATCACCGCCAGTAACAGAAACATTGCAAATCCCATCTACATGCATAGGAGCCAAAATGATCAATAAATTGATCGTGGGCCCTTAAGATATAGAAGAAGAAGAGATGATCGATTTTAAATTTAAAAAATCCTCTTTGTGTTGTTTAATGTGTTCAGTTAAAAAAAAAAAAAATTTAAATTGAAAGAAAACCATAGTGTTCTGTTCTTTTTTCTCATTCTTACACACGTGATTAGTTTTCTATTAAACACAGTCTACCAACGACAACGCACGCTCACTTCAGCTGTGAAAATGGGCGTGTCCTCAGGAAGGGGAGGGAAGTCACTGAATGTCATCATATACTTGGATGTGTTTGTTATAAGAGTCTCCCACACTTGAGGGGTGTTTGAACTTTTCCCCTCTGTTTTTGGACACCATATCCCACCTGGATTAGAAGAAAATAGGATGTTTAGACATATGAAATGCATGCATTTGTGGATACATTTGCTTGTTAGATTGTGAGCTTTTTGGAATTCATAGCTGCAATGAACTCACCCCTTTCTGTAAATCTTCAACTATTTCTTACCATTTTATGCATGTGCCTGCGTGAGAGACGAACTCTTCAAAGGAGTAATTTCAATTTAACAATACTTAAAAACAACGTTTTTCGTATAAATACTTTATAAAACATAATTTCGAGCCATTATGGTGGGGGTGAAAATTTGACAAAACAAGCCAGAGCCGTAGCGAAGTTAGAACAGGGGGGGGGGGCAGATGTCCCCGGGCGCCAGTTGGTTAAGGGTGCCCAAATTTGCTTTGATATTATTTTATTGATGAAAATAATGGGTGCGCTTTAAAATGAAGCTTGTCTCCGGGCGCCAAACACTCTAGCTACGCCTCTGCTACAAGTAACTCACTTTATAAGAATCCCAAATAATCCCCCTTCCCCCCAAAGCTCACAACCGGACTTTTTTTCACGTTCCTGAGCTTTCAGGGGAAAAAATATTACGCACCAAACGCACTTGGGATTTTTTAAAAAAAGAATCTCATTTAGCGCAGTTATTGGGAATTGTATTTCGTTATATCAATGGCATCCTATTTCCAGCATCTTCTCTGTTGAAAAAAAGGAAAAACTTATTTTGGGGGCGTTGCAGTTGGAGCTGAAAATTTGATAGAACGGCAAGTCTATATGCCAAGTTTCAGCTCGATCGGTTGACGAGAAGTGGGTGAATTAGCCATGCGAAGATCTTGCCGGCCACGAACAAAAGCAAAGTTAATATAAAAGATTTATTTAAAAAAGAACACTTCGCGATTTAAAATGGTGGTGTTTTTTGTTGTGTAAGACCCAAGTATTATGGTGAAGAATGTAGAGTTTGAAGAAGTCCTAGCCATGTTATTAGTTTTGACTCATCACAACTCTAGCCACACCATTTGTCCTTTTCATAAATTCATGCCATATTGTCATGTCAAATCATTCAGTCATATTTTAGGCTTATCATAAATGCATATCGTAAAGTAATGTCATAGAGTCATGGCAAGGAAGTTTCACCCACCTATGTCCGTGTCCAGCTCATAGCATGTTGGCTGCAGTCCTTCAACCAGGCATTCCTTCAGGGCAACGAGACCTGACACACCTGCACCAACGACACACACACGCTTTGCCTGACCATTAGAGGACATTTCTATGCTGAAAAGCAAAAAAAACAAACAAAAAAACATTATATTGTCGATTGGTCGATCTACATGCATATTCGTAATGCTTTGAACCTGTTTCTGGATGTTGTCACTTTCAATAAAATTAATCTTAGAGTTTGTCTACTTTGTTCAGTAAACTTAATGTTAGAGATCGTCTACCTTACTGTACTGACTACCTTACTGTACTGAGTTACGATGTGGTCCGGGAGAAGGAGAAACACATTAAGATTCCTAAGATCCCATTTATTTTTTTATTTCGTTGAGCCTCGCCACATTTACATTTTACATCTTTTGTTAGTTAGTAGAGCAATTCAACCGTGACTCTATTCAGTAACACACGCGAGGAGATAAATTCCTGACGTAACAGAACAAATTTAACATAAAATATTCCAAACTTCAGCACGTCAGCTGCTTCATGGTTGATGGGAAAAGAAAATTTGCGAATATAAGAGAACAGAATAACTAGAAGTCTTGTTGATGAGTAAATTTGTTATAAAATGAATATATTTAATAAGAGGGGGAGAAATAAACGTTTAAAACATTATTTTCTTTTTGTAGTTTTTTTTTTCCTTCTCTTGCTGACTGAGGTAAATATATGCTTAGCGCTACGTTTCGATTTGATGCAACAATGTATGTAGACACGAGCAAATGAACTCTAAAAGTTATAAAGACTATGAACATTTATTAAGTTTGAAATACCCCAGGTCAGCCATCAAATACACATGAACAAATATTACCTTTTATGCAAAACGTCTTACAGTGAGGAGATATTCCAGCTAGGTAGTCTGTTGTTACACAGGCATGTATCATCCTGCTACACAGTCAGCCATGCGCTGCAGTGCGATTGCGACAGGTTGTTATTGTGAGAAGATTCAACCATGGATACAAGAGTGGGAATAAAATGAAGGATCCGACCCCCCGGTTTTGTACGAAACACCTCCGATTCCAGCGTTACCAGACCACGCAGGCAGTGCCAGATGAGTGACCATGAGTGATGGTGCAACTGGTGCACTTGCACCAAGCTTGCCCTTAAGTTTTGATAACAGCTACCTACTCTATCCAGTAGATTCGTGACGTCATGAGAAACTGATTGTTTCTAGCGTGTCCCGAACAGTAGCGCAATGAAAACAAAAACAACGAACCAGCTGGCACCGGAAGAAGATGTTGTTGTTTTTTTTTTTTTGTGCATTTTGATTGAAGTGTAAGGCTATGCTCACGCCGAGGTTGTATTTGTTAGAGATTTGGCACTTCAAACTTTGTCACAACACTACGACACACCCATATCTGGATTTAAATCACCGATCAATTGCTGGATTAAAACCACCGATCCATTGCTGGATTTAATCGCCAATCCATTGCTGGATTAAAATCATAGATCCATTGCTGGATTAAAATCAACGATCCATTTCTGGATTTAAATCACCGATCAATTGCTGGATTAAAATCACCGGTGAGTGACAAACAGCAAAATGGAACCGATGGTGTAAATTAAGTTATATTAAAAATTGGTAAAACAGCAACTTGAAGTTGTCTTATTCGAGTGTTTTTTCGGAACACCGTGCATATTAGTGCGAATAAATGAAACGTCTAAACTTGACTTTTGCAAACCGAAATAAAAGCTATTGGAAGAACTGTAGAGCTTTTGAATACAATTTGGGAATTGCTAATCGTGCCAAGAAATATTTGCAAACACTACGATGACCGAGCTGGTAAGTTGTGTTATGAAACTAGAGGGGCTTGAAGAACAAATAAAAGAACCGCTTCCAAGGTTGAAAAAACACATGACAGCGGTGTACCAGCTGTTGTTACGACAGTAAAAAATGATCGCTTGACTGGATATAAAAAATCTTTGTTGCGATGGTTTTTATGCAACAAATGTAAACATATTTTTTTATATCCATAGCAATAAAAATGACATAGAATGACAGGGATTCAAATGAACATTTTAAATGGTAGCATTTTTTTAAAAATTAGTGTATGACCAATTTTTCTTTTAGAAAACATTAAGTGGAAAGTTACTGAACACGGGCTACGTGTTTAAGTCAGTTTGACTTACCCACTTGTTAGGGAAAGGTTAAAGAAAGAAAATTTTGATGGCTTAGCTCAGCGGTTCTCATCATGTAGGTCGCGACCCGTTTGGGGAGTCGAACGACCCTTACGCAGGAGGTCGTCTGAGACCATCGGAAAACACATATTTATGAAGAAGCAACGAAAATAATTTTATGAATTTGGGGGGCGCGGGGGGGGGGGGTTCACCACAACACAAGGAACTGCACTGAAGGGCTCGCTGCTGATTAAGGCTAAATGAAACAATCATATTATGAATTGATAGACGGGGTTCGTCATTTTTTATTGTGATAACAATAGCGTTAAACGATCTGAATCAATAAAAATCTTGTGTGGAGTTTTATTCCGTCGATGCAAAGAAGGAGCTTTACAACCAGTGGATAAAAAGACGTTCTTTGTTGAAAGAAACGTCCATCGACTGGAGACAGATAACGACGTTACTCCTCATAAGGTGCTAAATGTAATGCAACACTAAGATCTACCAGATGGCTTTCAACATATGTGTTTGCCCTGAGAATTCACTTAACGTTGCCAGTATGAAACTACAGTGGAGAAAGATCGTTCAGTCCTGTAAAAAAAGAACACACTCACCCCTGAGGTCAACTACTGACCAGGACACTATGGCAAACAATCCTTTTGAACATCGAGTTGGAAATGTGTGACAGGTCTTGACTTTGAAGACCAATGGGGACTCTCTGCAACCAATAGGCACTCTGCATGACCAAAAGGCACTCTCTACAACAAATAGGCCCTCTCCTTGCATATGCTGATGACATATAATTGGTAGGGAAAAGTAGTAAAGAAATATCAAAAGCCTCAAATTAGAAAACGCACTATTACAAGCAGGGCTGAAATTTAACAAAAGAAAAATACAGAGAGATAAAAAAAAACAACAATGATAATTAGAAACCAGCCTTTTGAAAAAGTAAATCAGTTCATATACCTAGTCTCTTTATTAAATGAAAAAAAAAATGAATTACCAACAGAAATAAAAGAAAACATATCAACCGGCAACAGGGCATGCTTCAGTAGTCAGGAGATACTCAAAAGTAAAAAAAAATTACATGAAAAAAAAAGAGAAAACTATATATAAAGCTGTAATCAGACCAGTGGTAACATATGCGAGTGAAACTTGGATCCTAATAAAAACGGCTGAAATCCGAAGAAAAGTTTTCCGGAAATTTTATGGACCAACAAAGGATGAGTATGGATGGAGAATACATACCAACCAGGATTTGTGGTCTATATCGGGATCCCACGCTAGTAGCAGAAATAAAAAAGGGCAGGCTACGCTGGGCGGGACACTTAGAGAGAATGTCACATGACAGAGGAGTGAAGAGGTTGCACCACCAAAACCCCAGAGGAAAACGGCTCAAAGACTAACCTAGGCTTAGATAGATGTATGTGGAAAGAATCTACAGCAGCTGGCAATCCAAGCATGGAAAAGAAATCATGTTAGGTCCGAGTGGCAGGAAAAGGTGAGGCAGGCCAAAGCCCTACAGGTAATGGCTAGATGGTATAATTTAGTTTGTATAATTAGTGGGTATACTTTAGTCTGTATTGTCAGTGGGTATACTTTAGTTTGTATGGTTACTGGGTACAGTTTAGTTTGTATGGTTTGTGGGTATAATTTATTTTGTCTAGTTAGTGGGTATAATTTAGTTTGTATAGTTAGTTTGTATAATTTAGTTTGTATAAGTTAGTGGGTATAATTTAGTTTGTATAGTTAGTAGGTATAATTTAGTTTGTATAGTTAGTGGGTATAATTTAGTTTGTATAGTTAGTGGGTATAATTTAGTTTGTATAGTTAGTGGGTATAATTTATTTTGTATGGTTAGTTTGTATAATTTAGTTTGTATAAGTTAGTGGGTATAATTTAGTTTGTATAAGTTAGTGGGTATAATTTATTTTGTATGGTTAGTTTGTATAATTTAGTTTGTATAAGTTAGTGGGTATAATTTAGTTTGTATAGTTAGTGGGTATAATATATTTTGTATGGTTAGTTTGTATAATTTAGTTTGTATAAGTTAGTGGGTATAATTTAGTTTGTATAAGTTAGTGGGTATAATTTAGTTTGTATAGTTAGTAGGTATAATTTAGTTTGTATAGTTAGTGGGTATAATTTAGTTTGTATAGTTAGTGGGTATAATTTAGTTTGTAT